TTTAAATAAAACAAACTGGACAAAAGACATAAAAAACAATCTAGAGAGTAGGTTTGTTTTTATCAGTTTGCTTTACAGTTTACTCCGAGCTGCCCAGAGCTTTTTGTTTTGCTATGTTTATTAAAAACAATTCGTTTTAAAAATAGCTTTCAACTCTGAGTCTCTGACAAGTGACAACTACTAGTGACAACTCAGAAATCTGACAATCTTAGCGTAAATACAATAGAGATTTCGAATTGCCAGAGCACCATATGTAGTCCATACAATATAGTATGTACATACGTATGTACATAAAAACAAGTACATTCTTAGAAAGAGTGAAAGGCTGACATCTTTAAACTGGAAAAGTCTGAATCCCTACGGCTATAGACTATTTTCGTGCATCGATGATTCTATTTACTATTGGGGTTGTTTCCAGTGTCGAGTGATCAACTGATGGCAAATAACATCTCAGAATATACATCTTCGAACACCAGGTAAAAATTGTGCTAATAACATACAATACTACTGACCTCCGTACTAGGTTTAGTAGTCCCTTAGTATCTATAAATAGAGAGCCTTCAGTACTAAAATTTTCACACCTCTCATTTGGACAATAAAGACAGTGAGTTACATCTAGACAACATGAAGTTTTACAGTACTGCTCTCCTTATGGCCGCCGCATCTGCGATGGTGATGGCTGCTTCGCCCACCCCTATGGAGCATATGTGCTCTCCCTCCAACAACAACGGCAAGTGCGAGGGTCTGAACAAACATATTGACACCAGTCGGCACTGCAACTTGAGCGGCGATGACAAGTGTTCTACCTCCTACTGTTGCATGGTTAAACACGACGATGATGATATTGATGACGACGTGATGATGTGCTCTCCCGATAACAACCAGGGCAAATGCGAGAGTCTTGGTAAGAAAATTGACAAGCACGTGACTTGCTACAGATATGGGGATGGAAAGTGTGCCAGTTCTCACTGCTGCAAGGCCCACCATGATGATGGTGATGATAGTGATCACGATGATGATGATAAAGAAGACAAGATGGAGTGTTCCCACGATACCAACCAAGGCAAATGTACGAGCCTGGGCAAGGATGTAGACAAGCACGAGACCTGCTACAGATACGGTGACAAGAAGTGTGCCAGCTCTCACTGTTGCAAGGATAAGAAGTAAGACGAGAACTAACCAAGGGGTATACTATATTATACATACACAAATCAGTTGATAAGGGCAAGGGCTATAATAGAAACGGTACCGATGTATTGGTGAGTTTAAACTGTTGCTATTAGAGAATTCACTGTTGGACAGATGCTCGTGCAATCATTTCAAATTTGGTCCATTGTAAATAAAGTACGCAAAGGTATGTACTCTTCGAGAATACTTGTCAATGGATGCACACAACGATTGTGATGTAGCAATATGTATTCCCTGACGGATAATTTTGTGGGTTAGCTTGAAAAGCTAAACAGGTCTTTCTAATATTCCTCTTTTAAAACGATTGTCTAATCCAATTCAAAATGTCGTCATATTTTTCAATATTTCTAAACAATGTGTTTTCGGCATAAGTGGTGGCAGTGATATTTGTATATAACCGTTGACAATTTTTGTCGAAAGCGAACGAAACGCACCATTTAAAATTGGGGTCCACTACGCTGTATAAATAAAAAACGTACTTCATACATTTGTCTGATTTCGTTATCTCTGAAAATGATAAATACATAAGCAACATGGTACATGCTGCGAATACGTAGTCCATGTTTTAAAGCTTATACAATGTCAAGCCGTGTACCAAATTGCACCTTGCAATGCCATGAATGAATGTAGCATGCAAACAACTCTTCGTCATCAGCTGCAGAGATGATGTTCGACGTTATCTGGTACGCATCTGATGCAAGGCTCGCTATTAATAGACTCGTAGGTACCTATCTATTCTGTCGCTGGTTCGTGAACGGGCCCGATCCTGAGATCGAGTTAACCGACCGCGACATAGCGGACTCAAGCCTTGATATCAGTGCTCGGGATATACATCCCTTTTCTTTTATATACCGGCCGGGACTAGTTGGTTTGATGGTAGGCTGTCGCGAGCATAGCCTTGCACATTTATATCTGAGTAATCTATTTCAGATACATGAGAAATACAAGGCGCGCTACAATACAAACGCAGTGCAGTGGAACGACAATTGGCGGTCATACGATTCCATTTTCAAGTACCATCCGATTTTCACTACCAAAGGCCAAGAGTTCGTAGATGTTCGTTCGGCTCACACTACGAGCGAACTTACAATGATGATACAAAAATGCAGAAATTCGTGGGAATCTAGGTGGGTAAAAATAGATGTGGATATGGTTTATATGTATGTATATCATGATAAATCAGTTGTGTGTGTTGGCATACAAAGATCGATATATATTTAGGACAGGTTTTTGCTTATTCGGTTGTTTTCAGCCATTAAGCTGTGTATCATATCCAACTAAAACCTGTTTTCAGCCGTTAAGCTGTGTATCACATCCAATTGAACCGTTTGCTTGATACGATTTGTCAACTCCTCATCCTTACAAGCGAGAAAGGGTTTCGAACACATTCAATCTACACTATCCGATAAGAATCGAAGCTGGAAACATATTCAAAATTGATAGTTGATACGGCAACCATGTGCACGTGGGCTCACTATTAGTCAGGTATATGCACACACAGTGCACGGTAGTATCCGAACTGCCGCGCCGCACATCACAGTACTACCCGCTTTTAAACGCGATTCGCCAAATCAATTCAATCGTTATATATACTTCTCTCTCTTGTCCTAGTATCCGAATAACGGAGTCGGTCTTCAATAACCTGCAAGTGCTAAACCCACGTGGTCGCAACCAAGACGAATTCCGCGCGCTTATCGGAACAGACCACCTGCCCATATCACCCCCAGCGACTATTTTCGAGCAAGTCACCAGAGCCTTAGCCAGAGACACACACAGGTACAGACAGTACAGACGGCAGTCTGAGTGCAGATATGGGTGGATCAACGGTGTGTATGAACACATGTGCGATGTTCGTTACTCGCCTGGGAACTGCCGCGGGTGCTTCCCGACTGAACGCCGAAATTGAGACTGTTGATCTATTGAACCGGGGGGAGTGTGCTGCAGTGGCTAGGGGTGTGTGTGATAGTGCCTTTACGGTATGGCCTATGCGTCAATTTCTACGGCCGATGCCGATATGTGCACATGTGTGATGTTCGGTACTCCCCGGAGAGTGACCTCGAGACTGCAGAAATAATCAGTAGGAGTGTGCCTGAGTGGGCACGGTGGTGAATGGCAGCGCACTATCGATATCTCAGACTTGAAGCACAACTGCACATCAATGCGGGCAGGGTTTGCATTACCTACGACAATACACTGGTTGTACTGAGTTGTATGCAGCCTGTTACATGGTCCACGTTTCAGTTCGTGTATCTCCGGCTCTATCAAGTCCGAACTACACCAAGCGCGCAGAAGGACAAATCCGGTCAGGTTAAACAATAGTGGATACTTATACTCCAGCAATAGCTGAGACACAACTGCCGGAATTGGCCCTCTGTCTGTGCAAATGAACCGTTGCCATGGCAACCTCATGCCCCTGCCAATCGTAGCGCATAAACGCGGTGATTTTATTCTATGGCACCTGCTTGTCGATGATGGTCTCTATATAAAGCCATGTATATGAACTACTACCAATATCAATGGATGTAAATATCTACTATGTAAATATCTACTAGCCTGATCATGCCCAGAGGACGCATTTATTCATCATTGAGCGCATTTTAACGCTACAGTACGACTTTTACATTCACTCGAGCACATTAAAAACGTATACACATAGTTTGTCTACCCTGACAAGCATAAGGGATACGTTTAGAGTCACCTGGTAGTATTCGTTGACAATAAACAAATGCAACTGACATGTGAGTCAGGGGGGTGCTTCCTAAGCGAAGAAACATTCGCAACCCGTGTCGTGACGGGGTAGGTATATTCAACTTAGAACGTGCTGCATGCGAATGTGCAACACATTCTGTGCAAGAACTTGTGCATTCGATGAGATTTGGTTTAATAACCCCGAAGTTAATATCTGGTACCATTGACGTACGTATCAGAGTAGGTACATGTATTTTTATCGATGAGTAAAGACGCCCTTATCGGCCTGGTAGCGTGTAGGCAGATGTCTGTCTTTGCCTCTGCGCTTTCGTTCGTATAGACGACCAATCATCACGCCACGGCTGTCGGTTGACTGTAGTATGTGCACGTACATGTCAAACATCATCTGTGCATGTGTGTGTGTGTGAGCAGGAGAGATAGGCTTAGTGGTTCATGTCATCATACTCGTACACATGACTCCTAGAGCCGATATATACTGCTCTGATACCTTTAGCCAATTCTGAGGTTGTGTTACTAATTTTCAAATCATATATAATAAAACATTCTGAATGTATTAGAGATAGTAATTGTATCGGAACCCGTATAGAACTTCACATCACAAAGACATACACATTCGCTCACACATTTAGTCGCAAACACCCGGTAGTCTCAGAAACCAACTTCAAAGTATCTCGTACCTGTAGCCTTCGTATTTGCAACACAAGCAGATAGTTTAGGACATTCTCACTTGTCACAAATAGCTCGTGGCAATAAACGTTCGTGTCCACCTCCATGTGTTTGATCACTGAGCTCAGGTCAGGGTCTGGCGTACTACCCGTCGCCTTCATAGTTAACGCGAACGACGGGGTGACTCTTGGATAATTGACCTGTATGGGGTGTGGGTACGCACATGATAGGTAGGTAAGAGATAGCATACACAGGCTAAACACGCACGTAATACAAGCTGGCTGACTGAACAACACAGCTGTACACATGCATAACCCAGGGGTACTCAGAAATTCATTACACTGAACGGCCCAGTGCAGTGATGTGGATGCGTATTCCACGTGCGAGTTGTGGTGACCGCGTGCTACGCTTAGACCATCTTCCTTGGGTGAAAAGTATACAGAAGTAACGGACGCTAGACGGTGTGTCAGATATATATGTAGAAAGTATAGACTCAACTTACACCCATAAAAGACATTCACTACTACACAACACAGAAGGTGTGCACACAAACACGGCCAGGCGAACATACGTTCAACTATATCACACGCTTTGAGAAAATGCCACCTGCAGTACCCATTCAATACAAATCAACACACACAAGTAAATGACCAGAGATTAACTCATAAAAATCATGTATGCAGACAGATCAAACGCAGAAGAACTAATCACCTGTAGGCCACATTCATTCCAGCTACAACAGAACATATACCAACAGATGCTTCAGATGCTTTCGTGTCAGTTTTATGTAAAAAACCATACGCTTAATCAAAATGTCGCCTCCTATATACACCCAATACAAGTCATTATACACACACACACACATATATACATATATATATATATATATATATATATATATATATAAATATATATATATATACATACATGTATAGCTATACAAAACATACGCTTAGAGTTATCGTCGCCTGTAACACCCATCCGTTCCTGCTCAATGCCATAAGGTATGTGGAATAACTGGGGGTGTTTTCCGTTTGCGTCCATTCGGTGAGATTGGCAGTTGGTCGCAGTTGGAACTGTTCAGCTACTTCTGCTAACAGGGGCGAGGATAGGTCGATGGTCTTTTTCTCTGCGGATGGGCATTGTGAGATTATTAATAGAATGTATTGACTTAGATAGTCTATGCATATACGAATACGCGAATATCACGTAGACATGCATATGCACAAATAGTACAAACACACAATAACTACCTACTGGTACACAGAAACGACACACTGCTGCATATATACAATGGGTGTGCGCAGAACTGTCTGTGAATGAATGCATACGCGGACACGCCGACGTACACGACAACAACAGCGACGGTACCAGAAAATGACGCGAATGCGGGCGCCGAAATCAGCACGTGCACCCAATGAGAATCGTCGAAAATTAGTTGCCCACTAATTGCGGACTAGTCCACACCAACATACTCAATGCGGCCAGCTGTGCGCTGAGATCTTTGCCCACGGTCATGCGTTCGCACACCAGCGCGATCGTAGTACCGAACTGATTCCTTCGCTCTTCTCCGCTTAACCTGGGTGTGCTATTTATAGATTCGGCGGCAACTGCAGCAGAGGGTACGGTGTCTTTGGCCTTGTCATCAGTATTTGACAAACGCTGCACCCACTCGAACGGCGCACCATATACAGTGCTCAGCTGAGAGAGCCATTGGCTGTCATGATGGTGTGCTCGCTAGTAGTGGACAAAAAAAAAGGGAATTGTACGGATTATCTCACTGGGTCACATCATGAGTGTATCATAGATCTTTTATATCTATTATATACCTATACCTATACCTATACCTATACCTATACCTATACCTATACCTATACCTATACTTATATATA